CATCCATCCATCCATCCATCCATCCATCCATCCATCCATTATCTTTACCCACTTCTTCCTTTCTATGTCGTGGGCGTCACTGATGCCCATATCCAGTAGTCACTGTGTGAGAGGCGGGGGACACCCTGGACAGGTCTCCAGTCCATCACAGGGACACATAGAGACAAATGAGACAAACAACCATTCACTCTCTCATTCACACCTAGGGACAATTTAGAGTTACCAATCAGTCTAAAATGAAAGGTTTTGGTCTGTGGGAGGAAACTGGAGTACCTGGAGAAAACCCACTTAGGATGGAGAGAACATGCAAACTCCACCCAGAAATGTCCCGAGCCGGGATTTGATCTGGCGACCTTCTCACTGAGAGGCAGTAGCTCTACCTACTAAGCCACCGTGCCATCCATACTAGGTACTAAATAGTAAAAAGGGAGAATAAAAGCTATCCATCCATCCATCCATCCATTATCTTTACCCACTTATTCCATTTTGGGTCACGGGGGTCGCTGGTGCCCATGTCCAGCAATCACTGTGCGAGGGGTGGGGTACACCCTGGACGGGTCGCAAGTCCATCACAGGGCCACATAGAGACAAATGAGACAAACAACCATTCACTCTCTCACTCACACCTAGGGACAATTTAGAGTTACCAATCAGCCTAACATGCATGTTTTTGGTCTGTGGGAGGAAACCGGAGTACCCGGAGAAAACCCACGCATGCACGGAGAGAACATGCAAACTCCACCCAGAAAGGCCCCCAGACCGGAATTTGAACCAGGGACCTGCTCGCTGAGAGGCAGCAGCTCTACCAGTTGCGCCACCGTGCTGCCAGAATAAAAGCTATTGATAAGATATTTAAGAAGTTATTGCACAAAATAAATCACATAGAAAATGGTAAAAATGTATAAAATGTATTGCATAACTTTAATATTTATTTGTTTAGATTAAAAACGTTGTGGGCAAATGCACAAAAAGGCTTTTATGAGCCAGTCATACTCAAAATCTACATTTTTGGCCTTTCAGGTTAAGATGTTAAATTCTTTAATTTGTGCAAATAAATTGAAGCCTTGACTTGTGGGAGCAGGTTGGATGTCCACGCTGAGTGAACAGGTTGTGCTGCGTCCTCATTTTGTTAATAGTTATTGAATCTGGGAGGTCTGAATTGGGCACCATGCTCACAGCATTTGTTGAAACCACATACAGGAATGAATAGGTACCACCCAAGGATCTTCTGCTCTGACACCAGAATAATAGTTTCCATTTAAAGCACTGAAGGAAAATATTTTGCTATTACTTTAGTACAAAATGGTTTTTTTAACAGACATTTTTGTAACAAAATGTTCCATTGTATATACCATTGAATGTTATGTGTTAGAAAATTAAATATTCACATTTCTTTGTGAATGGGCAGCATTATAGCAGAATTAAATGTTTTGTTCTCGTCTCTTTGAACGTCTCCTTGAACAACTTCTGTATGAGGAACGGCTGAATGGTGTGTGCTTTTACAGAGAGTCATTCTTGAATAAGTTTGATAACCTCCCCCATAACAAAAACTCTGAACTTCAAAAACTGCTAAATCTGCAGCCATAGTGACAATTAATGAAGCATTCCATGACCACAACCGAATCGTTGCAGTATTTAGAGCATGGATGAGGATAGCACGACTTTTATTTGCCATGCA